CTTATTCTTGGTTCTCCCCCAAGTTCTTACTACCTGCATCGTCCTCCTAGTTTCCAGATCTGGTCTCTCTCCAGTCCCTCCCAATTCTAGTCCAAACATCTAGTCTGCTGCCACACTACCTCGTGCTGAGATTGCTGAGCTTGTGAGCAGAGTCACAGTCTCAGGTCTCTGCCCTTACAGTACCAATGCCTTGCATATTAGGTGAAACTGAGCATTTGGAGGTGTTATATGTCAGGTTCCTGATCCATTGTAGTTACTTAAGAATCCATATGTGCAGCAGAATTAGCTCAAATGGTAGAGAACCTGCTCAGCATGCAAAAGATAGCAGGATTGATGCCTATGTACCTTTTTGGAGAAAAGTTGATAAAGAGGGGACATGGTTGCAGTTTTCAAATATATGAAAGGCTGACATGAAGAAGATGGAGAACCGTTGTTTTTGTTTGTCGCAGGGAGCAGAACACAAGGCAGAGTGTTTAAACTGTGGTAAGCTGATTTAGGCAAAGATTCCTGACTGTAAGAGAAGTAGAACAAGCCACCTAGGGGAAGTTTTCAAGAAGCTGGATAGGCACTGTTTGGGATGTTTTAGGACTAGTGATTCCTGCAGTGGTTCAGGGGGTTGGACTAGAAAGAACTTGGAGGTCCCTTCCAAGCCTCTGATCTATGGAAAAGTAAGAAGAAATAGCTCAGGTGTCCTAGTCTGATTTCTTACCCTGAGTTTGCTTCCATGAATATAGTTTCACAGTTAAGGATGTTGGATAGCCATCTAGCTTTTGTTTCCTCCTATTAATATATTTGTCTCTTTTTGGTTCCTCCCAGATTTTTCCTTAAATCTTTAAGAGCAGATCTCTAGATTTTACCTAATTTTACCTTCTGTCTACATTTAACACACAGTCAGTTACATTGGAGAAATATGTATCTCCTTCATGACATGATCTCCACAGAAAATGCACTGTGGTATCTTCTGTCCTGCCATGTGGTAACAGAACTGTTTTTTCCAAGCAGTGGGTCATTGTGGGAGTGTATCTATTGCTCTAGAACAGTATAAAGACCTCAACTCTCAGTTCCCCCATGACTTTTTTCCCCTGCTATATGGAGTGGCTATCAAGCTTCATTCTCTCCTTAGAGATTTGTCTTCCTAACTTTTTGTTCAACAGTGTTTACATTTTTTCCCTTCCTTCTTGTATTTGGACTCTGCTAGATTTCCTTCTCCTTGCCACGATCAGGACTGTGGGAATACTACCAAATGGGGAGAATGCAGTTTTCCCAGTATGCAAGGGACAATTCAATAATTGATAGTCCTTGAATTCTATGCACCTGGCTGAAACATCTGGCCACTATCATGGAGAACAGTGAGCTAGATGCATCTTTGGTCTTGATGATGTTTCCTGAGGACACATGACAGGCCACAAAAGCTACAAGCAGGCCATACGGTGTTGCTAAACTCATGAGTATCCTGTACGATACATAGCAGTTGGCAGCCATGGTGGCTCCAGGAATCAGAGACTGAAAGCAACAGGCTCTGCTTCCATGGCAATGCACAGTGTTGTCACCAGGCTCCCACCTACACTCTACTTCTCAGCATGCTGGAGAGTAATACCAGGCTGTTTCTCCAAAACAGTCTGGAGAAGAGTGAGTACAACAAAAATGGATTATTTCTTATATATATGGAAAAAGATGGTGGGGATGGTTGAAAGCCTGTTTCAAAACTGCGGGGGGAGGGACCTGAACCAGTACATCTGAGACATCTGGTCACGCTAAGCCGGTGACTGTTGCATCAAAAGTTATGTACTTCATTTTTTCAGTGCATGGCAACTTTCTCATGGACATTTCAGTCTGATGCTGAGAGGAGTGTTTGCATGCCTCATTATGAGCTTTGTGAACACGTCAAGAATTTTTTTTTCATGCATATAATGATTACTGAGTAAGCGGAAAGGGCCTACAAGGCAATTGCTGAAGCATCTGAAAAACAGCTGGAATCATAAAAAGGAGGGCCGTGATGCATTGAATGGTCTCTGTGTTTTCCAAATAATCCTCAAGTTGTTGTATTTGTTCCTTGTTACAGTGTGTGAAAGCAGCAAAGTTGATTGGAACATTTGTCAGTCCAAAGGTGTCCTTGACGTTAATCCTGTCAGCTCTCAAGAAGACACCTATGTCTTCTCACCTTATGATCCTAGCTTCAGTGATTCGAGGCAGCACAAGACAAGTCCTGGAGCCTCATTTGGTTGATCTTGCCAATACACTCTCACAAACTGAAATCAGTCAGCGATCTGAAGAGGTAAGAAATGAAGAATTCAAAACAAGACATAAGCTACTCCAGAATTTAAGACCTTGTATATGTACCTAAACACCCAAAGTGCTTGTTGTACCTCCTTTAAAATAGAGTATTATTCTCACACTGAACTTCCAAACTGCCAGAGCTGCTGAGATTGAAAACTATCTACAAAGTTGTGTGTAAAACAGAATAAAGTGACATGCCCCCTTGCCTACCTTAGAGATACTGCTCAAAACAATAGTGACTTTACTGCGCTGGGTAGTTCATACTGCAATGGTTATTTATGCCTTTGTTAATTGGTATAACTTATTGAAATATTGATGTTCTGATTAACATCGAAACTTCAAGTTTTCCCTACTAGGACTAATTTCTGCCCTTTGATCCATGCATTTAGTTGCATGGAATCTGCTTGCATTTATGCAAAGGCAGGAGTTAGTCTTTGTTTTGAGAATGCCTTTTGTACAGAATCCATACAACTGTATGTACTTTGACCTTTCCTAACCCTGCAGTCAGTTAAAATGACTGTCCCCCCACTTTTCTTGGAGAGCAGTAATTGGCAAGTTGTTTCAAGTGGAAAAGGTGTTCCCTTTTTATGTTTTTTTTAATTATTATTTCTTGTTTTAAAAGTAAATGATTTGGGCATTTTTCATAAGAATTTAAGGAGCCCTCTTTGCAAAGCTTTAGGATGTACAGTGCTTAGGTTTGGTTTGTGCTTCTTTTATCTTAAGAATCCAGGAAGAAAACACTTCCGAAGTCCTTAAATTGCTTGTAAATGCCACATAACTCATGGTCACTACACAGGCTGTCCATGAAATCAGCCTGAAAATCATTTTTACTGTAGCAGTTCGAGGTGTCTTGTATGCCTTTAAAGGAAATGATGTACAAACGCATATTAATTTCAAGATATTCTATATTTTTTCTTGGTATATTTCCTAATCTATTACATACGGAAGAACTAACAGAAGCAAAGATGTGATTGTTCACTTGCTGAAGGAACCGTGTTGTTAAGACCTCTCAGCTTTCAGAACTTTACAGCAATGTGAAGAGCTAATAATTGAAACTTGGGAAATCTAGCTTTATATCCCTTTCCTCTGTTTTAGGATCTGGATGGTGTTTTGTTTTGTTTTGTTTTGTGTAGAAGAAAAGGTCACCTGTCTACCCAGTTTTCCCTTAATTAAAAATCTACCCCTGCTGTTACAAGCAGGAGTTTGAAACGTTAGCTCTCTGACTTAAAGCAATCATTTGGAGATGTGCTATTGACTGGCATCTTGTCTCCGAAACACTCTTTTGAGCCCCTCATCAGATTCTGACCTCCCTTTTGAGAAGGTTATTCCTGTGTGTAGGCTGAACCAACTATTAGAGGGGTTTGTGTAATTTTCTTTTAGAGCCAAAGAAAGATATACTTTTGAAGGTCTTTTCTATAGTTCTAGCTGGAATGTGCTTCAGAGAGGCATAGAAATCCATTATGCATAGGGACTTGCACCACTGCAGGCATCACCACCTCCAGGCTCTTCAGAGAATGTTTCTATGGGAACAGATCTGAAAAACTGCCATGTGGTCTTTTAAAAATCAATGCTGCCTGGTCTTGTATAGATGCATGCTTATTAGAGCTGTGCAAAATTTCGCCAGTTGTTTGAATTAGACACTGTTTTGACTAATTTTGAGCTCGAAACAGGGAGATCAAATCGAAATGAAGGACTTCGAAACAGCCTCGAAACAAAATGAGGCTAGTCGAAATGTTTCGAATCTTTCGAAATATTTCAAGTTTCAAAGCCAGCAGTGAGAGACGGGAGAACCAGAGCTGTGCTCCCAGCACCAGCCGGAAGCGCAACCCTGGCTCTCCCTGTCTCCTGCTGCCGGAAGCCAATAACAGTGCAGAGGAAGGGAACTGAGCCTGGGCTCAGTTCCCCTCCCCAGCACTGCAATCCGTTGGGCGTGGAGAGTCAGCCCAGCTCGGCTCACTCTCACCCCACCCCCTCTGCGCCCGATCACAGCACATGGGGGGTGGGAGCGAGCCCAGGTGGGCTGACTCTCTACCCCCATGCCCGATTGCAGCACGGGGGGTGGGAGTGAGCCCAGCTGGGCTGACTCTCCACTCCCCCCCCCCC